AGAGGGTAACAATTAAAAATGAAAGAAATCATAACGACGCTCACGAAGAAACAAAACTTGTTGAGCCAACAGAATCAATTAGTTAAACGTTTTCTGAAATCGAATTTTTTTCGTGGTTTTTTTCTGACATGTATATATGAAGGGGGTCAAGCAAAGAAATCTAGAGGTTCTTTATAGTTTCACCCTTGCTGGCGGATCTCTACCCTGGAAATTAAAGTCGCAGAATTTAACGCTCCACTTAAATAATGGCGCGCAAATAAACGTTTTATCAAACGTGAATTTTTGAAAATCGCGTTAATTTCCCGTAACAAGGTAAACTGCGAGCAGCTTCAAGTAAAACTAAGATCTTTCGCCATTTTCTGCACATTTATTGTAAATATTATCATTGTAAATACCACTAATAGAGATAATTTGCCTACATTCAACGGGTATATAAATAAGCGCAGTTTGAGGCCTATTATCAATACCTCTTATTAGCCGAGTTTTCGGTCCGTACTGTAAGTTACGGACCGAGTCTTTTTCCATCGATTTATGGCCCAAGCGCGAAGCGCGCGGGCCATAAATCGATGGAAAAAAACGAGGATCCGTAATTTACAGTACGGACCGAAAAAACGAGGCTAATAATATGTATTAGTAATGGTAATAGGACTGAGTGGAGTCCAATTCGGTCTGTAATCATACGAGTGATTAACAAAATCGGACGACCGCGTAGCGGGAGTCCGATTTGTTTAATCACGAGTATGATTACAGACCTGCGCGTGATGGCGCGTACTGTCCAATTACTTAGGCATGACGCGTACCGTCCTATTAAACTGTCCAATTAAGGCTGAAATCAGGGCAGTTGAGAGCCAATCAGATTTGACAATTTTGTTATAGTTATGATTATATGGCTTCTTCCAGTTTGGGGGACCGGAAACAAGTGCAGGACGCGCGATTTGACAATCGATTGACAGGCGTCAAGAAAGAAAGTTTTTATTGGCTCACGAAAACAATAGCACGCAACAAAGGGTTTCCGAGAAAGTGAAAACAAATTTGCCATGTCGAAAAAGTTTATTTGGTCAAAACTAAGAGTGCTGTAAGTTTTAGCTCTTTAATGTAAGGCGTTAATGTAACGCTGGAGTATTTTGGAAACCGGGCACTGTGTCTTTCTCGAAGTCGTTTCCATCTTTCCTCCGTTGGTCCTTGTAAAAACAAACACTGCAAAAGGCAAAGAAGCTTTTCAAGGTAAGTTTGTTGTCATTGTCGAAGGATTCGCTCGTTTATTGTTTTGGGAAAACCTCTCGAATTTCTGCCAGTTCATCCTCGTCTTCAAGCGTGATCTGCGTTAAAATTTTCAAACACGGACCATATTTTCTTCCACGGAAAGGTTACGATTCAGTTTCTGTTATTTTTTATCTTTATTTTTGAGGACCCAGGTTAAAATCTGGAAAGGCAAAGTCAACATCCCAGTTCTCAGGGTTTACAGATATATTTTTAAGTATATTCGGTCAAAGCTAAGAGTACTGTAAGTATTCACTCGCCAATGTGACGCTGGAGTCTTTTTAAAACTGGACATTGTGTCTGGCTTGGAGTCGCTTCTATCTTTCTTTCGTTGGTCTTTGGAAAAACAGTGCAAAAGACAAAGAAGCTCCTCAAGATGATCGGGTGCAGGTATGTTTTTTTATCATATTTGTCGAAGGAATTACCCATTTTCTCTTAGGCAAAACATTTCGAATCTCTGCCAGTCGATTTTCGTCTTCTTAACTGTGTACTACGATAAAATTTTGAAACACTGACTAGAATCCTCTTTCGATAAGATTACGAGTTAGTTTCTTCATCGTCTTCGTTCACAAATAAACACAGTTTAAAATGTTGAAGGACAAAGTCAAAATCTAAGTCCTCAAGGTTGATAGACGTCTTGTAACTTAATTTCAACCTTTTAATTAATTTTTCCGAGGTAAAGAGATTTAGGGTTCCGAAATGAGCATTTTCTTTGAAATTTTGGTCCGTATAGCAAGTTACGGACCGCAAATTGACCAATCGCCTGGCGAAAACAGACTCAGCCATATAGTAATTATTATTATTACATTTATTTGCCATGGAAGAAATTGTTCAATACTTAATAATATGGGCGCCGTGGGAAACACGCCCTTTTGTGACTGTGGATGTGTCAGAGGTAGATTTGTTTATAAATCACATTCCACAGGTCACCTAGCTACGGCTAAAACCAACTTAACAAACTAAGAGACGAAACAAAACAGAACCAAAAACTTCTTCCAGGCCCAATCACTGCAGTGTAACTGATTATCAACGATAAAACAGTGACTCGAACTTTTAACCTGAGGATTGTGGCCCAAAAAAGAAGCCTCCCTCCACAACTTCCCTGGCGACTTTCTAGACTGTTCACAGTACCCTTTTTCTTTCGTAAGATCATAAAGCGTTACGGCCACCCATTTTGGTTTCAAATGTACCGAGGAGGCAGCTGCCGGGGCTTATTGTTGGTTTTCACATGACGTCACTAAAATTCAAACTACAAAACTATCGGTCCTACCGAGGTTTTACTTTCACGATGTATTGGAGCAGCTGAAAACTAATTTTCATACAAATTTTCGCTTCAGAAGGGTCCTTGGTTTTGTAATTGAGTAGGCTTAAATTTCTGAGCTTTTGCGTGATGGGGCATTTACATGGCAGCCAAGAGAGCTGTCCTGTAGGTTTAAAAAAATGACCTATTTCAGGGAATTTTGCTATCTAAACAGTTCATGTATTAGAAAAAGTATTACTTTAATGTTTATGAGTTTCTCGAAGAATAAATTCACGCTTTTGTAGCAAAACTCGGTAACAGATGTTTCTGTTGGTTTCCGTTCGCCATTTTGGTGCCCATCCGAATGGGCACCAGCATGGCGTCTCAAATCTGTATAAATTTGAGTAAAACATTTCTTCAGATATCTCGTATACGAAGTATTCCTCTGACCTGAATCTTGGCGAGGGTCTTTGCGTATTTACCTCCTTTCTTTTCCAAGATTCTGGACTTTATCCATTGAACGGATTTGATTTTTGTTTTGATCTATTCTGAATGGCGTGACACTGAAAACCCGCAATAGCGGTTGGGGAGAGGGAGGCGAGAATTTCTCTCGCCTCCTAAACCGTCCCCTACCCCCTAATAAAACGGAGTTGAAAACGCTTAAATAGCGAATTTTATGCCCTTTTTTCATATTTGCCTGTTGAAATCGCAAAAAAAAAACCCGCGAAATTAAGTACCAATAGCCGCACAAAGCGGCACTGTACTGACAGGGGCGTTCCTAGACATTTTTTGTTTGTAAATCCTGGTGGAGCATATTGAGGGGTGGGGTACAATAGGGACGCGTTAGCGTGCATAAGGACAGCCCAAGGCGCGACATGCTAGGGGGGGGGGCATGCCATCCTCGAAAATTCTGAAAATTCAAGTACTCTGAGATGTGATCTGGTACAATCTGGGCGCTTAAATTAGTTGGCAAATGCCAGGACTTCATATTGAACAAGAAATAATGAAATATTTAACAAAATGCAGCCAGTTGTGGTTGTCAACAACAGCAACAACGTAATGACCTGACTAGCGACACATTAAGTGCAAACATATCCGAAATCTTGGTGGAAGTCAAAGAAATTCGAAAGTTAGACGTCTGTTCTTTTTGGCGCCAAATTCGCGAATCATTGCTTCTACATCAATGGTTACGTCTCTGTAAGCATGCATCAGGGCAAGTGATGCGATTCGCTCTGTTTTCATCGTGGAAGACCGTGGGACGTAAGTACGTCTTCACTCTGCGCATCGTGCTAAAGATCGTTCGGGGGTAGCAGTTTACACTGGCATTGTCAGGAGAATGGTAATAATTGTGTCCACGTCGGGATAAAGGTCCGAATTAGCGTGCTGGAGTGTCTCTGTGAGCGTCAATTGTTTTTCATCAGTTGAATGAGACCACTTTGTTTGCCGCCTTAAAATTTCATTGTCAAAGTCTCTCTTCTTTGAAAGATCGGTTTTGTAGGTGTCATAAAGCTTATCTTGTACTCCGCTGTTGGAAGCATTCAGTTTTGCTGGAACAAGATATTGACCTAAGAAACGGTTCTCTTGTAACAGAAGCCTGTCATTTACAGGTGTAGTTCTTGTACGAGGTGATCGACCAAAGCAAAATACACGGCTCTTTGCCAGTACATCTATTTTTTAAAAAATATATATCATACCGTCTGAATCACTTGTAAGCGTGTGCTTATTTGCTTACAGGCAGGTACGCCTTGACTGAGGGTGGTAAAGGTTAGGGTATTTTTGTTTTGAACCGTGAATTGCTTGTTTTATTCACCGTGAATTGTGAAATCACTGCCTTTCACTACAAGCGTAGGCTATTCACGCTATTCAAGTGAAAATCACGACATCGGTTTGCCGGTTTAATATGGTTAGTGCTGTTAGCCGTAAACAAATTGCAATACAGGATGAGTCCTAACTTGAATCTGCGCATTTCGTGAAATATTACAATATGACCATTCAAATGAAGGTTTCTGATAAGAAGAACTTTCTTCCATGTGGCACTGTTTTTTATGTCGTCAGGGGCACCCAAAGACGCTTTCCTCCTAAATACATTGAAAACACTTTTTAGGCTATCCAGAGCACTTTTAGATCTCTAGAAATGCATTCTAAGTAAGTAGACTGTTCACAGTCCTCTATTTTTCCGTAAGATCATCGAGATCGAGCGCTTTGTGTTACGGGCTGCCATCTTGCATGAGTGTCAAAACTACTTAGTGGGCGGGGGCGGTTTGGGAGGAAAGCGAGAAAAATCTTTTTCTTTCTTATGGTGCTGCCTGTTGTTTCAATATCTTTATTTGAAATTTGGATCTTTTCATGCGGTGGGCACTATGTGAAGTTAGTTGGTAATAGTAAAGGCCAAGGGTCGTTGTGTTCTATGCACCAGTAGGCTGTCAAGCACACTGGTGTCCCATTATTTTCCTATGAGAGAATTTGGTCTGGCAACTTGGCAAAATTGTTCCTTTGTTGTCAGTCACTTAATGTACCATTTGGCTTAAAGCTAGGGCAAAGAGGCTGTTCAGCTTTCATCACATCGTGCCGCAGACGAGGTAAGATTGTTTTACTCACACATTCAATGACTTTGTTTGTTTTAAACCAGATTGTTCTTTCGTGCAAACACATTTTATAATCATGAGGCACCACCGGGCTTGAATATTAATTTGCATTGTAATTACTTAATTTGGACATAAGATTGAAACGTTAATCTGTAAAAAATGGAACTGTAAAAATGATAAAGTAATAGATCTATAGGTATAAAATGTATGGTATACTAAAGAGTTTTCTTTTATGACAGAGCCAATTCCGACACTGTACGGCGAGAACAAAGAGCAGTGCTTTTCAGGTGGCACTGTGTTTCAATAGTTGTAGCTTGTAACGATCGGGTATCGAAATTTTCTTGATTTTAATCCTTTATAAGTTTTTTATAAGGATTCGGAATGTACATCTACAAAAACACCGGCCAGTTTTTATATTTACAAACGAATTCTTGCTAGGATGGGCGAGGGCAATAGGATCGAAGCTTGTTTAGGCAATAGATTTATCATGAGTGTATTCGCGATCTTTCAGACTTTATAACATTTGCTCCATCTCGCTACATTTTTTACGGCAAATTTTCCTAGAGTTTTATTGTTAGAGACGGCATCCAAGTCTAAAGAAGGAAAGGAAAATTTGTCTTCGTTTGCTCACTTCCTCTATATAGAAAGTCGCATTTGAGTGTTTCACGTCGTAATTGAGCTGGGACAGCAAAAAAAATGTACCAAAAAATGTGATATGAGGGCCAATTTTTTTGCTCATTAAACCTACTGCGTTTTTGGCGTTGTCGTTATATCTCTTTGAAGCCACTCTAGTCCAGGCATTTTATCTCCAAAAATGGGTCAACCTGTTACAAATCTGACAAATTGCAACAGAGGGTTTTTAAACGGTTTTCGGTTCAGGATCATGTCTTCTACGACATGTCAAGTCTGCAAAAATTTGAGTTAATTTATAGTGCAGAATGTAAACGACGTTGCACGCAGTGTTTGTCTTGTCGCGCGAGTTTTATGCGACGTACACATGGGCTGGCAATGAAAGTGAGAATTCCTTGGCTTATATACTGTGCCAGGTTCTAATTGCATACCAGGTACATAAAATAATCAATCCGTATACGATTCTCAGTTTTGTTGAAGCCTGCAGAAAACGTACACTCTTTACAGATCGGAGTTGTGGTTCAGTTGCTCCACAATTTCTTCTCGCCCTTCCTCCGGCATTGGCACCTTGCATCACTTCACGGATTTTGTTCATCAGGAAGTACAATGTACAATCAGAATGCTGCTCTTAGGCAGGGAACTTTTGTATCTACTTTTCATGGCGAGTTTGTCCAGTACGCAGTCAACAAAGTTGGTTTCAACGTTAGGACTCTCGACTGGGTTGACACCTGCTTCTCCGACGTGGGCACGATTGCAGTCGTCACACCTGGCATCAAAGAGAGTTCAAAAGTCACTCCGGGAGAAAGAAATACTTCCTCGCGAGCCCCGACAGCTGAACATGAAAACAGAATATTGATACTTAGCTCTTGTGACCTGTAACGTCCTGTGTGAGATGTCTCTACTGTTTGGGACCCGGTACCCTTCTTGGAGTGGCATAATGCAATTTATTTTCTCAGAAAGGAAGGTATCATGGAATCTTCTCTGTTAAATTTCTTCCTATGATCGATCTGAATCCGGGTAATTTTTCATCCAGAATTCTGTATCTGCGCATGCTAAACAACACGGAATTGCAAATTCCATCGTCACGTTTGGTTGTTTATGAAAGCCTTCAACATAATACAGACGGAACTAGCTAACAGCGATTTGCGCGAAGCGAATCGGCAGAATCGGAGCCTATTTCACGCGGAGATGAGCTTTCTCGGAAGTATTAGCCATCTGATGGAGGAGTCTGGTTTTCGAGAAATTTTGAAACTAATATACTTGTCTATTAAATGCTGTGGACCTCGTAAATCAACTGAGTCAAGCAGTGACCGGATGCAACAACACTTCTCGCCAGTATGGAGTTGGCAAGGCAACAGTCCTGTTGAAATTTGAGAATTTATCTTATTTAGAAAGTAAGCTTATGTGTCTCGCTGTCATTGTTACACATGTTACATATATTATGCTGTTTTAGCCATTTTCCTGGCAGGTGAAAAAGCACTAGTCTTTCTTTTCGGTGTTAAGCCAGAGATTGGTCTTGATGCTCTCAGGCATTGACGAAACTTGTAGCGAAGACATCTCATATACAGCCACAATAGCTTCCCAAACTGCAACAGCGACCTGACTTCACAGCCTGCACGTTTATCTACAAGTAAAGCAGTGGCAGGGAGAAGGTGAAAAAAAAGTCTATAGAGGGCTGGAAAGAAATTCAGCGGTAATGAAAAATTGCCTGTCGCAGTGGATTTGCAGCTTGCTTCAGACACTCTTCTTTAGTTAATCAGATGAAACTGTTCACCTATCTGCAGCACCATGACGTGCATCTGTCGCAAAAACAGTATGCAGTGTTATTCAGCCTACGCAAGGGGTCTTCCTGCACTATATCTGCTGATGCCCTAAACTACGATACTGACGAATTGGAAGTGTCCCATCATGGTAGAACCTAAAGGATAATTTTCTTCTGCTGGTTACGTGAGCTTTGAATAACTCAATATTTAACTAAGTTAACGATTTTGGCGGCTTTTGGGGGATTTTGATTTTTTATATCATAGTATTAACATTGTAATCTTAGTAACTAGGAAAATAAGTGACTCGATTTGTTCCAGTAATAAAAACGCTGAAACAGCAATTTGTGGCTTACCTTACAGCCTCTTTTTCATGTCTTGCTATTGGAAAAAGGGAATTCTGTTTTGGGTCCTATTTGGAAACTTTCCCATGCTGGAATCTTTTGGAGACTTTTGGTATGTTGAAGAATAGGTTATTTCTAACTGGTTGAAGCTTCTGTTGCGATTAGTAAAAAGTCAGATTATACAAAATGCCTGGACTACTCGTGAAAATTCATCCGAAATTTGTACCTTTCGTAGATTCTTTCTGAAGCAATATAGTTTAATAATGTGACCCTTTTCTCGAACAGGTTGAACTAAGACAGGAAAACGATAATGAAGCAAATGCCATGTTTTGTGTTTTATGCGCTTTTCTTGACCCTTGGCGGCAAATCAGCAGGTAAGAAAAAGATTTCTTGAACCCTCATGCAGTTTCTCGAAGGCCTCCCAGTAATTCGAACCAAATTAAAATTGACATCCCTTCCCCGAATTAAACACTGTTTATACCCAAAATTTTCCGAACTCCGGATAACTCGAACCGAGGACTAAATTCCCTTTTCTGAGTCAAACACTGAAGTCTTACTGCCAATTTTTCAAACCTCCCGATAATTCGAACTAATTTTTCTTCCCTAGGAAGTTCGAAAAATGGGGTTTTGAACTGTACTTGTCGCGTTATTTCTCATACGGTTCTTTGTTTCGCTTTAACTAACTCTTGTTTTCTCTTATTGTCAAAAGCTCAAGAGAAGAGGGCACTTCCTAACCCTTACAATTCCTTTGCTAGCGACTTGAACACCTGTCTTTTCAACGACTGGGCTGGTGTCTTGGAGACACCCGGTGCATGTAATGAAGAAGGTGATGTCCAACTCTGTTATGGGAGACACAACCTAAACAAGGCACTCTTCGCTGTCTGTTTCAATAAACTAACGCGTATTCCAAAATTTACTGCAAACGTTTATAAAAAAGGTGGTACTGAGGGAGAGGAAAACATGATAGGGAATCAGGAATGTTACGAAGACGCATGGAAAATAGAAAGTGGATCAGGTAAAACTTTGCTGAAAGACTAAAATATTATCTTTAAGCTCAGTGCAAGGCTGGTTGGATAGCCTGAGAAAACAGCCGACATCTCGCGACGCCACCACTGATTGGCCCGCAAATTGCTTCATCCAATCAGAAGCAATACCCAGATTTGGGAAGTGGCATGTCAACAGTATGGAACTTTTGCGCTCGTTTCTCAGAGGTCATTTCGCGGGGAATAAAAACCAGAGATGGAGTCGCGAAACGTCGACTGTTTTCTCAGGCTGCTGATTGAACAGCTATGAAGAGATGTTTTATTGCCCGATGAGGGTTCTTTCGATTCGAGGACGAGAACGAGTACGAGTCGAGATTTGATTTGAAGTTTTTCACTCACTCCGAACACACTCCAGTATTCTTAATTGTTCTGTTTTTTCACCAGAAAAGTTAGCACTTTTGTCTTTATTGGTGGAGGTTAATCCCTCTTCCGTTTGCAAAACGATAAAAATTCTAATATTTGATAACATGTTAGAGCGATTTTCGTATGACCTTGAAAAATGGTTTAGGTAAGTGTTCGTTATTTGTTTTATCAGCCAAGGGATGAAAAGATCAAAACATGGACCCTTCGTTTTCCCGCCAAAGGAAACCATACATGTAATATGGAGAAGGCATTATTCGATTTGCCAATCGTGTTGCAGTATGACTTCAAAGCGAAGTCTCGATTGATTTCTAGAAAGTTCTTCGAGCATGAAGTTTTTTCACCCGAGCGTTCGCTTAACCAACCAAAAGCCACGCGCGTTTGTATCCGTTCGATAAACCAATCAAATCGCTCTATTTCCGTTCTTTTTTGTTTCTGTTTTGTTTGCGTGTTTTCATTTTAAGGTCATACGAAAAGCGCTCTACCTCCACTACGACATTCTCGCTAGAACTTGTAGTAGAATGACGACGGCTGTCACGTTTTCGTGCCCAAATGACGCTGGTTCACGTTTGCGCACTCCTTAGTATTGAGAAAATCTCTTACTCGTTGTCGTAATCGTCTTAGGGCCTGTTTACATGGAGTGTGGGACCCCGGTCTAGTGGGGCTGGTTTCTTTTGTTTACACGCCCTGGGGGACACAAAACAAAAGAAACCTACCGCACTAGACCGGGGTCCCCCACTCCATGTAAACAGGGTCTTAGAATCTGAAGGCAACACAGTTTGATTGATTCAGGGTGACTGCCTTTATTTTGTGCGTCTAGATCGTATTGGCGCATGCTTGTCATGCCATCAGGATCGCTCGTTGAGTGCTCATTTTTAATAAAATTAGACCATGGCACATTGGCTAATGCCCCCTTTCACACCAAAGTTTAAACATGTTTAAACGCTGTTCAGTTAAACACGGTTTAAATTTGTTTTCTTTGTGAAAGCTGCGTACTGTGCTCTTATTGATGGTATTAGAATTAATTTGAATTTTGTGCTAAAGCTTGCGTTTGAGTTTTCCGTTACTGATTTGTGCTCTTCAGTTTTAAACTTAGTTTAATTAAACCTGTTTAGTTGGTGTGAATGGGGCATTAAGTCGGCCTTAAATGCCTGTTCATTAAAATATTTGCAGGAGCGTCAGCGAATGTATCACTGACATTCCGGCTTTGGTCGGAATAGAAATTCGACGATACGCGTATAAAAAGTACCGTTAAGTATTTTAATGCCAATATTCAAATACTTAACAAAAAAATACTTCATAATATAAATTAACGATTATTTTATAACATATATTCAAACAGTATTTGAAGGGTGGATTCCGAACGAATACATAAAAACCAAATGAGTCCCCAGTCCAAAGATGCGAAACAAACAAAAGAAAAAAAAAACAAAAGAAAAAACAAAAATGAAAAGTAGGACCGTAGAGGGGAAATTGTCATCAGGCAGCCATAAACACTAACATTTTTTAGGTGAATTTTGCAGGCATACCATTACTTGAAAAAGGTGGGCCAGCTCAGTGCAATTTCAAGTTTCAATCCATGTCAATCCTTTCCATTCGTTGAACAGATGATAGGAAACAGTTTCAATGCTTAAATAAGTCTTGGATAAAAAAAATACTGTACGATTATTTTTGGAACTCAATTAATGCGAAGACAAGTTTTAGCTTTTTAAAAAGTGAGCAAAATATCTTGACGTAGCCTCTTACAATAGCCTTCTCTTTGACAACAATGTTGTGAATGGTAACTGATTCAAAAGATGTAAATGAACACTGACAACAGTCCGTACAAAGCACAAAATCTAACAGCAACTGCTGTTAGCAATTGCTGTAGCAGCACTAAGGGCCGTAACTTCTAAGATTTTAATGAAATCTTGAAGACCTGTACAACGATCTCTCTAAAAGGAACACGTTAATTTACTTAACAATCATTAATTATCATTGTTTGTTCGTAGGGTTTACCCCAGCCGATCAAGCAACAAACAATGATTACGACGATGAACGTCAAAAGGCTTTACTTGGCGCAGACAGGTTCAGTGGGATCGAAAATCGTTTTTTAGGGAAAGGTCATCTGACTCCTGACGGGGATTTCAAAAAAGATGGAAATTGTGAAAAGAGTTTTACATATATTTATACCAACGCTGCACCGCAATGGCAGTTGTTTAATGCAGGGAACTGGGCGGCCCTTGAAGGGGCCATTAGAAGCTATACTGACCGTCCAACTGTTCCACCAGTAAACACGAGAACTTTGTACATCTTCACAGGAACAGGCGGTGGGTTTGTAATTTTTAGGCAACGTTCACATGACACCGAACGAATTTTCCGGCGACCGGCTGAAAAACTGGACAGGTCACCAATTAGTTCACACGGAACTTTGAACGGCTAGGCGTCTAAGTTTTCGAAGGGTTAAGGTGATTCCGTGTGAACAGAACTAACATAAATGCACGAATTTTCAACCTATCGAAAATTCGTCCGGAGCCTTGTGAACGTAGCCTGAAGAAAATGAACGCTCTTTCGCTCACGCGTTAAGACTATGTGACTGTTAGCACCTGCTTGGCTAGCTCTTGTTAAGGGCCTGATTACATGGCATGCGCCGGACTGGCCCGATTTGCCGAGGCAACTTTTAGCCCCGAGAACGGGACTTCAGTTAACCGGGCTGGGTTCGTTGTCGTGTGATGTCAAAGTTGATTTTTATTGTGTTTAATTAACGTACCTCGATATTTTGGCAAAGTGAGCCAGCCCGGAAAATCGGATTAGCCCACGGGCTCATGATATTAGGCCCTAAATTAGACCAATTTCTGCTTTTCGGTTTGATCTGTTAATATTTCTTAAAATTACACTCGTTGATTTTTATCTCATTCCTTTGAAAATACGTTAAAATGATTTTTTTAAAAATTCGTTTCGCAGTTACATCTATGTTTAAGGTAATCATCTCTGATTTTTTAAAGTGTATTTCAAAGTTACTTTTTTATGCTTTTAAGGTGGTGCAGCGCAATACAACGGAGCAAACATTGGTCGACTGAACAACAAAATCGAGGTCCCAAGATATTACTGGAAAGCCGTGTGTGATCCCCAGGCTCAGCAGTCTATTGTCTTTGTTGCTGAAAACACACCTGGTATTACAGACCCCACTGCAGTCAACGGTTGCCCACTTACTTATCACAAACAAGGCCAAACCTACAACAATAAACCACAACAGAGAAACATGGGCGTAATACAATGCTCCTCGGTAGACGATGCAAAAGCCGCCCACCCCCTTTTTAAACTACCAACGTTCAATCCCGCTGTCTGCGGTCCGCAAAACGTGAGAGGCAATTTCCTCGACCAATACCTTGCAGATAAATTAAAATGAAGTGAGTAACAGTATAACAGAAAGCTTTTGCCTCCTATTTGTCGCAAGAATTAGAGAAAATAAAGAATACATACTGATAACAAAACCTTATGTAAACTATAGCCTCTTGCAGTTACACAACTTTCTGCCAAAAGGTGTATAACAAACCTGGTTTCTTTCATGGGCAATATTAATTTGGGCTAGCACTTCTCTCCACCGGAAAAGGCGCTCGCCTCGGGAAGCGCCAACCCTGTAGATAGGTAAAGCTAATAAGAGCCCAACCTCGAATAATAAACGCCCCCCGCCTCCCGACACCCCAAACAAAAAGAATCAATAAAACAATGTCCATGTTGGCAAGAAACCGAACTCAAGTTTCCTAATTTTTTGGTAGTCAACAACTATATCTCCATCAAAGAACCTAATTAGGAACCTACTAAGGCTAAATTGTTCGTTCGAGCCTAAAAGGCTGGGCGGGAAGGTTTAAGCTGCTATCACCTCTATCACTTCTAGACCGGAGATGATTTGTCATCACCGTGACTTTTGAGTCGGTGAACATGGTGAAAGACATCGTATGGTGGTGCCATTCAAATTAAAGAAGCTCTTTCACAAAAGTTATCAAAGTTCAAATATAGCGGGAATCATACCAATTTGAGTGAAATGTATACAGCTATTTCGAGAAAGGTTGTCGGAAAAAATGCGCACGCGACAATCCCGAAAGCTAACAAGGGATATGATGAATACACTGTTCCTAACCCAGTAACCGTCGAACCTACAGTTGTTGCTTTCCTTTAGCAGTAGCAAAACATACGTCCACGGCCTCTCGTGCCATTCTTTCAAATTTCTTTGAACAACAGTGAACTCAAAACCACCCACAAAACCTTTTGGGATTGTCGCGTGCACTTTTTCCGACAACCTTTCACGAAATAGCTGTATATGTATACAGTCACTTCTCTCTGAGTAAAACGGACATCTAGAGTTGGTCCCTGCCTTTCTTCACTCCCTTTATTTGACTTTCTATAAGACGGACATCTCTCCAAGACGGAGACTTAATGCCGGTCTTAAAGGTGACCTTTGACTCTAAAGGACGTGAAGAACGGCAGACACCAACTCTGGTTGTCCTTTTTACAGAGGTGTCCGTTAAGAGATAATCGACGCGACCGTGTACAAAAAAACACTTCTTAAAGCCCCTGCAATCGCTGCAGTGTACCTGAGATGTTTCTTCTATAGGTCGTTAAGAAAACTGGTTATCAACAATAAAAGTCATAAAACAGTGACTCGCACTTTTGACCTAAGGAATGTGGCCCAAAAAAGAAGCCTCCTTCGACCATTTTGCTGGGGTCTTTGTAGACTATTCACAGTCCCCTTTTTCTTTCGTAAGATCGTAAAGATCGAACGCTTAAAGTTTAAGGTGATGTTACACGGGACGATTCACAACAACGATTCTTAGCGCAACACAGCATTTATTTACAGTATTGTTGCGACATTGTTTCGAATGGCTGCAACATTGCACTAACATTGCAACGCTGTGTTGCGCAGAATTAGCAAATCGTCCCCTGTAACATCACCTTTAAGACATCAAGACAGCTGAGTAGATAATAACATCGAACTGTTGTTAGAGTTATAAAATATTTGTTCAACAAATACCTTCCCTGCTGATCAATCAACGGGAAAAAACATGAGGGAGGGCTGGGAGCTAAAGGATAAGGTATTTTGCCCCCCCCCCCCCCCCCCCCCCCCCCCCCTCGTCCCCTGGAAAAACACCTTTAAGACAACAAGAAAGGTGGGTAAATAATAACATCGAACTGTTGTTAGAGTTATAAAAAATTTTTTCAACAAATACCTTCCCGGCTGATCAATCAACGGGAAAAAACATGGGGGGGGGGTGGGAGCTAAAGGATAAGGTATTTTGCCCCCCCCCCCCCCTTGCCCCCGCCTATTACCCCAATAGACTTCTGGCGACCCCTTTATAAGAACAACCAAAGAAACAAGAACGCAGTTTTTCAACAAGCTCCATCATACTTTATTGTTTTGAAATACGTCAACTAAATAAAATGCGACGAAAATACAATTCCACCATAACCGGACACGTAAACCCCGAAAACCAATTTAATTTGGAAAAAAAGGGGACCGTGTACCCCCGACCAGTGCTATGGTGACGCCTTTGGGGTTTTAAGGCCTACTACTGTATATAAACGTTAAAAATAATCAAAGCTAAGGCTCCTGGCTAAGGCAAATAAATGAATATTTTAGCTAGGCTGAAAGGAAAAAGAAAACAAAAAGAAAATATTATTCGCGAAGTAAATAGTCGGCGAGGCTGATTTTAGAATAGAGCGATTTAAAGATCTGTCGCCGTTTTTAAGTTCAAAGCGCCTTCGCTCGCAATATAGTTATTAAATTATGCTTATTGGATCAATGTAAAGGGTGAAAGCTATGATTCCCCGCCTTTCACTTAGCAGATGAAAGCTATAAAGTCTTTTTTTTCTGCAGACAAATTCAGATCAGGCAAAACGTTTTGCTGGGAACCTCTGAAAATCTTCATGCATTAGAAGGTTATTGCAGTTTATGTTACATGTGAAGCTATAAAATCAGCGTTTGTGGCATTAATTAAGAAGAATTCAGAAGTTCCAAGTTAATACGCTATAATTTTCCTGGTTGACAGTAAAACGCGTGGCCAGGATCGGAACCATGGCCACGGTCGCGGTCGAGGTCTATCTTATTTTAATAAAGCTGTTTTGGGGTTAGGGTTGACACTAACCCTAACTCTAACCATAACCCGTACCCTAACCCCGAAATGCAGCCTGTTTTAACTTGAGTCTTACATAAACATTAAATTATTATTATCAGTTTTTCGTGCTGCAGTGACGTAGGGTAGTAGCAAGAGTAGCGGACGACATCAACACTCATCCTCCGATATGATACATGAACACGCCCAATAGCATTCTTTTCCTGTGAGCTGTTAGGACGAAACAGAAGATATCTTTATTGCTTGATTTTTAACAAAGGATCTGCAAAGTTTATTTTGCTTTGTCTGCAGAGTATTTTTTGTCCTATTATAAAAAAATATTACGCATTGTACAAAATTTTGTCGTCTATTTCAAAACATATAGCCTTAATTTTATCATAGAAGCAAGTGTGATCAATAGCAAAATCCATTTGATGGAGTTTTGAATCCTAAGGTGTCTTGGTCTGCAACCGCGTTTTTTGTCCTTGTTTTGCAGTCCATAGCTTTAATAAGTAAAACAGGGAACGCTGACGACTGAGTCAAGTCAAAGCCTTTAGTTTAACGAGGGACACATTAACAAAGATTAGCCTTTCCTCACTCCTCCCGTCGCAGGTTTTGTGTCTTTGCGTTTTCCCTATTTGAAGCTGACTCGTTCCCAGTCGCCTATCTTGTCTCTCTCGGTCGTGGAACGGTCGCGGGAGACAGGCCTTTACGGTATACAGGGAATGGATGTTCCACGTGTCTCCATCGTTAATATTTGAGTGAGAGAAGAGAGACGACTGAGGAGCAGTCAGGTATTGAAGAAGAACAAAATTGCTTTTCTGACACTCACCAATTTTAACGTGGCCAGGACCAATTACTGACTTCGGGGTTTCTTCATCAGAGAACAAATTTCACGAGAACGTCCTCCTCATCATCATCATCATCATTTCCAGCATCTATTGTCATAATCATCATCCTCGTCCATATTGTCGTTATCTTCGTCGTCATCATCGTCAGAATGATCGTGGTTATCTTCATTATCATCATCATCGTTATCATCATCGTCAGCATCATCGTCATCATTATCATCGTCGTCATCATCGTCGTCATCGTCAGCATCATCGCCAGCATTATCCTTAGCATCATCATCATTGTCAGCACTATCGTCGTCATTATCATTGGCAGCACCATCGTCAGCATCATGGTCGGCATCATCGTCATTATCATTATCATCATGATCATCATCCATGCAACAGGTGTCATTCGTCTACGTCTAGCCTCTTCACATCACCGTGCCTCATCAAGCAGCCCAGCTTGTCAACGTTCACTGTTCCTATATCTCTCAAGAAATCAAGACCACACGTTAAACTGAACTTATATCAAAAAGTTAAGTTCTCCCTCATTTGTTCATTTATTGGATCAAAGCATCTAATCAACTAATTAAGAAAATAAGCAAAGACAAAAAGGACTTGGCGTTTCCAGATAATTCGGATAGTCAGGCCGTCCCTATATACTAGAAAATCGACTCGGGTGAAAATTTTATGCAACAATTTCAAACTTATTAAGAGGGATAAAACTTAAAAATAATGACTTATGCACAAAAGGATAAAGACGAAAAAGGTAAAAAAATCAGAATAATGTAACAAAAAGGAACTAAAAATTGATATCATTATTATTATTATTATTATTATTATTATTATGAATAATAATAATAATAGTAATAATGATTATAATGATAGTAACAGAAAAGGAAAAGCATCGAAAGTGGCAACTAAAAAGACTTTAGAAATAAAAAAATACTTCTTGCCTGATTTTTGAAACGAAACTGCCTTAAAATCCTTGCAGTTTCGTTTTCAAAAAATCAATCAAGTCTCTTTTGTTGCAATTATTTCCTTCTCTACTTCTACTTCTCTTTTTATTATCATTATCATAATCATTACTATTGTTTTTCCTATTCTCATATTATTTATTTGACTACTTTTTCAATTTATTGTTTATGATTATTAGTTTATTATTTTTCTTTATTATTTATTTTGTATTTCAAGTCCACTTTTGTTCCATTTTTCTTCATTTGTTTCCTTTTTTGCCATTTTTCTTTCCTTGTGCTTCAAATGAGTCCATCAGGTGCTTCATTTGCATGTTATTATTTTTACTTTTATCCCTACTTGCTTTTAGTAAATTCTCCGAGAAGAACGCCAAGACCATCCGCTCTACCGGGAAACTTCATGTCCCTTTACCTTAGCCTTGGCCTTTGCTTATATTATGGGTATTGAGCTGGACAATTCCATTTCTCTCTGCCATTGCATCATTTAATAGG